GGGGCAATGGGTACAAGCTGGAGCATAGAAAGTTCCATAAAAATATGAGGAGAAGCCTTTTCCCTGTGAGGGTGACAGAGCACTGGCACAGGCTGCCCAGGGAGGTTGTGGAGTCTCTTTCTGTGGCGACATTCAAAACCTGCCTGGACGCGTTCCTGTGTGATCTACTGTAGGTGATCCTGCTCTGGCAGGGGGTTGGACTAGATGATCTTCTGAGGTCCCTTCCAACCCCTGACATTCTGTGATTCTGTGATTCTGCATGATTCTGTGAAGCCCCCGTGGGATCCTGTCTTTCCGCACAGTGTTAGCTGTAACTTTGGTCTGCTTCTTACATTATTAGTGGTGACATCTGGAAATTTCTTGTGTTGTCATGATCTTATGCCCAGTAGTTTTCCACACCCTGTTGAGTTAATTTAACCTCACGATTATGCCAGTCAGGGCCTGGCCAGTGGTTTAGTCACTCACACAGAGCACTCACAAAAACATGGGGATTATTCCTGAGCTTGACCCTGAAGTTGTCTGGAAAAATATTTTCTTAGTTGCGTGATGAGAGGAATATGAAATGAAGATCAGACCCATTTGTTCGGTGTTGAGTAAGATGATATGGCATGGTGCTGACACCTATATGCCCGTGTAAAGACCATCCTGAGATAAAACAGCTCAAAATGAGCGAGAAGCCACTGATATTCGTAATCATAGACTGATACCATTAAGTCCTCAGGACCTAAAAGAATGGGAGGAAAGGCTTTACTATGGTCTTGTTATTTTCTTTGGAGAAATTCCAGAGATACAGTCTGTGCAACTGCTCCTGGTTTTGGATTGCTCCCAGATGTCAGATCCCGAAGGTTCAAGTTTATCTTTGACTTCTTTGGAAGACAGTTCGGTGGCCATATCATTAATATGCAGATGACACTTAGTTCTGTTTCCAGCCCAGGAAGGAGATATTTCTGTATTTTCCAGTGTCTGGCACAGATAGGGAGCTGGACAGAAGCCAAGAAACTGGGCTCATTCCAGAGTTTCAAACTGCTTTGCAATGACTGGCCTGGAAATGAATTTTGAGGTTTCGTTTGTTCAAGTGCTTCGCTGCTCTTGGGGTCTTAATAGCCTCAGACTGTTCTGCACTTGCCCTCTGGTGAGAAGAGCTGGAAGAATCTTTTTCAGCAAACAAAAGGAAACCAAATCAAGCCTCTGCCAAGCCAAGAGCATGGTTTCATCAGCTCACCTCTGCCTGAAAAGAAGGAGCAGTGTTCACACCTCCCTTCATCCTTATCACTCAGTCTCAGCCACACTCTGCCTTGTGCAGGCTCTGGAGCTTGTTGGGTGCTTCCTTGAGGTAATACACAGGTACAAGCCACGCAGAAATGTGGATAATTCTCTGCACCTTCCTGGGCTGCATTGGCTCTTCAGGAGTCCAGCAAGAGCTGGAAAGAGGGGATGGGGTGGGAAAGTGAAGAGGAGGAAGGATGGAAGGAAGGAAGGAAAGAAGGAGAGCGAGACCTGACTGTGACCAGGCTAGCATTACAAAACTCGAGACTTGGTAACCACTTGAAATTTCAGCTACAGCCTTAATTCAACTCACTCTCTTTTAATCACTATGGCTTTCTCAGGGTAAATTACACTCACAGCTTGTTCCCAACAATGGAAGCAATTAAAAGCACTGTTTACTATCTACAGAGCCCCAAATAGTTGAAATCTAATTACTTCCAAAAGACTTTCCTTCTTTTGTCCCATGGTGACCCCAGCATTAAATAGAATTGCTTTGGCCATCTTGCCTAGGAATGAACTTTGAGGAAGCTGGAAGAAAAGTAATGTCTCTAGAAGGCATTTTCCTGAAGATTTTACTCCTGCCAGAGTATTTGCTAAGCCTGAACATGCCCACATTTGGTACATGATGTAAAACAATTCTTCATGCACATGTTCTCTGCTAATAACAGGCCCGGGAGTCCTTGGCGTTCAGCCTGCTGTTGTCTATCTTTGTCCTTCGGCATGGCGTGCCATTGCCTGAGCACGCGCCGAGCAGCCTTCCAGCCTGGCCTTCGGAAATCCTCTGCTCTGCCTGCTCCTCCTGATGCCCACGCCAGGCAGCGGGGTGCATCCAAACCACCCAAGAAGGAGATGCAGAGACATTACTTTCTCCTGCCAGTCCAGTCCCCAAGTTTGGCACAGGCACACTTCACTGACCAGGAGGTAGCCTGTAGGACATTTCCCTGGGTCAAGGAAGACCATCGGCCATATGCAGCCATAATCATTTTGCCTTGGGGATATGCTCAGCAAACCACAGCCATGCACCATTATTCCAGAGGCATTTGCATATATGCTGCATTTTTGCGTGGCCCATGGTCAATGAGTTGCATGTGGAGAGCCCTCTGGCACGAATCAAACTCTACCATCAGCTGCACGGGTGCTACACAGAATCACAGAGTCACAGAATCACAGAATCACAGAATCACAGAATTGTTGAGGCTGGAAAAGACCTCTGAGATCATCAAGTCCAGCCTATGACCCAACACCACCACATTGGCCAGACCACGGCACCAAGTGCCACATCCAGCCTCTCCTTAAACACCTCCAGGGACGGTGACTCCACCACTTTCCTGGGCAGTGCATCCCAATGCCTGATTAGGCAAGGTTGATGGCTTCCACAACACAACTTTTTAAACACCTACACGCTGAGCCTCTGATTACATGTGTCGCATGAAGTAAGGGGTTACAGATGCCCTCCTATTCCTCTTTGACCTCTCCTCATGTAGGGCTTGAGCTAACATTGTCCAGCAGCCTGAGGGTATGTCTGCATCTGCTGCTGTGTAGTAGTCCTTGGACCTTCATGTCAGGAGTGATATGTTTATATCTGAGCCTGTCATAAGGAAGGGGAAAGGACTGGGAACTTCCTAAAGTTCCTTCCAGATTTTGATTAGTGGATTTTATGTTTCAGAAGATAATCCACTTCAGGTTGTGCTGATGGGCTTGTGGAAAATGCAGCTGCTTCTTGCTGCTCCTTTGACTTTTTATCATGTGCAAGCTTCAGCTTCCTACTATATTTTTCTCTGTGTAATTTATGTTTGTGTAGTTGTGCAAATAAATATAGTTACATTTCCCTACCGAAAAC